GCACTCTTTAACCGACACCAGCTCAAAACTGAAGCGTCGGCATCCTCGACGGGCTCCAATCTTGCTTAAATGTTCTTTGAGCGTGGGGGACAGCAAGAACTCTGAAGAGCTGATATCGGGGTTGTAGGGTAAATGGGGGGCGTGTTCCCAATGCATTTCTTGCAGGACGGCCCTTGCTTCTCTGAAACAATGAGCCATTCATTATCTTGAGGGGAAAACGTCCCCCGTGGCTCCACTTTCCTGGTCCTTTTTTCCTCACCAAGGTAGTTTTCCATTTTCTTGAAACTGCTCCAGAAGAAGCGCCCGTGACCACCTGTGTGGTCACCTCCTTGCGGATCTTCAACACAGTTGGCATAATCGTCTCAGCTGAGCTCTGTGCTGGCATGGAACTCGTCTGGTCTCAGACCCTCACAGGGGCCGTTCTACCCGGTCCCAGAGGGTTGCTCTGAGTCCACCTCAAATGGATGGCATTGAGTTTGGCTTTGGGCTCGAGCAGAGCCCCTCAAAGGCCCTTGTTTTGATGGGACCTTGCTCTCTGGTTCGTACAGGTAACTCCAAGACGAGTCTCCAGTTCTGATTCGTTCCATAAAGCCGTCTTCATTCCCTTTGATCTCACGTCAAAGAGTGATGGAGAGAGCAGCTTCGGAAGTTAACTGACCTTCATACAGCCCGTCTGGCCCCCTCTGAGCCCAGAGCTCGCCGAGGTCAGGATAGTCCCTTAACACTGTTCTTCTTACACTAGTTGGTGTCGTTCAGCGACAGTTTTTCATGTGCTCAGATTGATGGTCCTCTTTCTCTGTATTCCGCTCTGGGATCTCCCCAACTTGTCTTAAAAACGCTTGCTACATCTAAAAACGTTTCTCGTGAGACAGCATTCCTGTAACTTGTTGTAAAACTTCAATGGCTTGGGAAGATATCCCCTTGAGTTGCCAAAAACATGACATTAGCCCTGAAAATTTCCCCACAGCATAAAAAGTATCATTTTAAGGCACCCAGCGAGACTAAGACCAATGGATTGCTAAGACAGCTTGACTGCTCCATGCACTGATCATAGGGACATGCTTAATCATGCTTTTAAAAGTATAAATCCATGTGTGTCTGACCTGGTACTATAGTAGCCTAACTTTTGTCCTTAGTCTCATATAAATGGAATACCATCTCTTGAAAGTAGAGTGTGAAGTTGTAGACACATGCTATAAACCCTAGGGGGCATTGATGGAATTCCCACCTTCCCTGAGGGGCACCCAGCTTCCAACCCTGCGCCTCAGGTATAGCCACTTCCCACCTGTCAAGGGAGGCTTGTATATTGTGGTCGTGCTGAAAAGGATGATGAAATAAATGGGCTCAAATACTTTGGACATATTATCCAGAGAAATTATTCCCTGGAAAATGACATACTGCTTGGTAAAGCAGAGGATTGCAACAATGGGCTCAAACAGAATAACAATTCTGAGTCTGGTGCAAGCCCGTTGTGGTAGTCAACTAACCTGGTGTCAATTTAAAGATTAAGGGTGTAGGGGTGGAGTCTAGGCTGTCAATCTGGGGATAGCCAGTTAGACTTCTGTGGGCATGGCCTTCTCCTGAGAATTCTGGGAAATCTGGTACTTCCTCCTTGGAGGCGGAAGGCACCTCTCTCTCTCTGCTACTCCCTGGGAGACATTGCAGAAGACAAGCCACATGGATGCAACCAGACCTTGGAAGCCGAAGAAGCCACAGAGAGACCCCTGCCAGCTAGCGCTGAGATGTTTCCAATGACACTGGATCCAAAGACTTTCTACCCACTGGCTTGTGATCTCTTGCATGTGGCGTCATTGCATGTGGTTTGTGAGTCTGAAGAGGACTTTATAGATTGATATCGGAAATATGGGCTAATATTGGATTTATGGACTTGACCTGGACTGGGCTTCTCAACATCGCCCCCCCCCCCCCCCAATCTCATACCTTCTCCAATCTCTTTCTGTCTCTTCAGCCAAGGAGGGACACTAGGTCCAAAGGACATTTTCTACTCCGGCTCTTCTCAATGGTAGTAAGGTCCATCTTAACCTCTGGGCTCTTTATAAGCCTAGCAGGATAACAAAACTGACCAATCCTCGAGCTGGTACACTACTTGCATATTTCAGCCAATCCCCGAGTTTAACATATCTTTTTGCATAGTCCCACTCAATAATTCTGTGGGAGTTACAAGGTCCTGGCTAGAAAGACCATATAAAAGCAATTCACTGCAGCACACATACCAAGTGTTGGTGAGGATGTGGGGCCCACACTGTTGGTGAGAATCTAAAACTCAAGCAGCTAAACATGTAGTTACCACATGAGTCAGCCATCCCATGCCTAGATATTTTCCCAGGAGAAATAAACCCACATCCATACAAAGACTTATACACAAACATAGTAGCTTTATTTGTAATGGTTAAAAATAGGAAACTACCCAAATATCCATCAACAGGTGAATGAATAGTCAAACAGCAGTATTTCCATACAATATTTTATTTCCAGCAATAAAAGAACTGAACTATCGATAAACACAACAATATGGGCAGGTCTCAAAATAATTACACTGAGTGGAAGAAACCAGACAAAACTGTAAATGCTATGAGTCCACAGATACACAACCACAAGAAATGCAAAGTGCTCTATAGTAGCACAGAGCAGATGGGCGCTTACTTGGCAAAGGGGAGGGGGGAAGGATTGCCAATAGGCAACTTTTGGGGTGATGGATGCTTATTACCTTGGTTATATTGATGGTTTCATGGGTGTATGCACATATCAATTTATATCAAATTTTACACAATAATATATACCGTTTATTGTATCTCAATTATATCTCAATAGCCCCAAACTGAACTCACTACCGTTGAGTCATTTCCGACTCATCTCAAAACTCAAACTCAAAGGACCGAGTAGAACTGCCCGAGATTCTAAGTCTTTACAGGAGCAGAAATCCTCATCTCTCTCCTGCGGGGTGGTTGATGATCTCGAACTGCTGACTTTGTGGTTAGCAGCCTGATGGTAATCCACCACACCACCAGGGCTCCTATTACTTCAACAAAACTCAAAACCCAACTCACTGCCACCAGGTTGAGGTGATCACAGTGACCCTGTCGGGCAGAGTGGCATAGAAGTACCCCTGTGAGTTTCTGAGACTATAACTCTTTATTGGAGTAGACAGTCCTGCCCTTCTGAAGAGTGGCTGGTGGTTTTAGAACTGCCGACCTTGCTGTCAGCATCCCCACCAGGCTTCCTCATTAAAGGGGTCTTAAAAAGACCCCCGGAAGCTCAGGTACAGCTCAGATGCCCCACCCGCTACCCTTCTCAGGGTGCCCCCCTGTAAGGGCCCTAGCATACAAATGGGGGAGTAAATGCTGTGGGGAAGGAGGGGACACAAAGGGACAGAGACCTATGCCCCAACGTTGGGGGCTCTTGGTGTCAGGCCTGGTTTCATGCTCACCGGAGGGCCTCCAGGTCTGGAGCTTCCCCTGGCCGGCAGAAGAGGGTGTTCACCCCTAAGCACTTGTCCGACAGGGACAGGAGTATCCACTGGGACAGGAGTCTCACAGCCATGCCTCCTGCCCTGGCCCCTCCCACAGTCCCTGACGCCACACAGACTCCACCCCAGTTCCCAGTCCCCGATCCCTTTCCCATAGCCCCCCTCACCTTGCGTCCGGGAATCCTTCCACCCCCAGCTCCCGCAGGCCCCGCCCTCTGGCCGCGCCTCATCCAGGCTATGTCCCAGGACTCCGCCTCATCCCCCGCCCCGCCGCAGGCCCCGCCCCTGAACCACCGTCCCGGGCCAAGGCCCCGCCCATCCACCGGCCCCACCCAAGCGCCTAACCCCTTGGTGACAGGCTCCTCATCTGTCCCTCTGTATCGGGCCCTCGTCCCCTCACAGAACCGCCCAGGTGCCCCCAGACTCAGGACCCTCTCAGTCCAGGCCCCGCCCACGCCGATCCGGCCCCACCCCTCCTCCCGAGCCCCACCCCCTTAAGCCCCGCCCCCTGTGCGGCCTGCTCCGCCCATGGGTCCCCGCCCCGAGACGCGCGAGTCCGACCGCAGCGCCCAGCAGGGGCTCAGGGTCCGCGGGCAGCGCACCGGGCGTGGCACGGGCCTGGCTGGCTTGTGGCTGACCAGCCTCCCAGCCGGACGCGGTCCAGGTAAAGCCTCCGACCCCTGGCCCCTGACCCCTGACCCGGGTCTGAGCCGTCCCTACCGTCGCCCTCGCTTCCGCGCGGGCCCGGCCCGCTCGGCTTTGCGCCCCCTCCCCCAGCGTCCGTGCCGTGGCTGGCGAGGTGCCTGTTCGATCTGGATCGCGGGCCCGCGGACAGGGGCCGCGCTGTCATCCTTCGGTCCAAGGTGTTCCCAGTGAATCGGGATCAAGCTTTTGATAAGGTAAGCCTCCGCCGCGGGGCTGCGCGCGCTCCGGGCTCGGGCTCGCTGAGCCACCCGGTCCGACCCGGCATCCGGGGGAAGGCTGGCAGCTGGGCGTTCTGGGGGAGCAGGGCCCTGGGGGGCAGGGGCGCGAGCTGCGGTCCGCCCCCCCACTCGCCGTGCTCCCGCAGCCACGGCTCCTCCTGCGGGGCGGTGGGTGCGCCCAGCCTGGCCAGGCCAGGGAGTGCGTCCCCCTTTGTTACAAGCCGCCCGGGGGTCCCTTGCGGGAGCCTCAGGGTAAGTTGCAGGGCGGGTCTCCTTCCAGAAGGGGTGGCCCGCGGGGCAGCCGCTTCCAGGGCGGGTTTCAGGGCGGGCCCGCGTGGCGCGTGGATGGCGCCCACCTCGCTCTTTCTTCCCCGTCTCTCGCAGAACCTGGAGAGTGCCCCGGCCGGCTCGGCACCCGCGGGGAAGAGCGTGTATGTCTTCGAGGAACGCGCTCGCCCGGCCGCCCGGGGAGTAGCCAGGAGCTTAGATGGCCGCACCGGCCCCAGGCAGGATGGCCCTCCTGGGCAGACCGAGCGCCTCCTCGCCGCAGGTCCCCAGGGGAGGGCCGTGCCTCCTGCTGCTGCTCTGCCTGCCTCTGGGCGCCACGTGCCCTCAGGGCTGCCAGTGTCCCGAGCATGCGGGGGCGGTGGCTGTGCGCTGCAGCGCCAGCGGCCTGCGGGAGGTCCCCAAGGACATCCCCGCCGACACCGTGCTCCTGAAGCTGGATGCCAACGAGATCGCTCACATCCCTGATGGCGCCTTCCAGCACCTGAGCCGGCTCAAGGAGCTGGACTTGTCTGGGAATGCCATCGAGGTGATTGGGCCGGCGACGTTCACTGGCTTGGCGGGGGCCCTGCGGCTGCTGGACCTGTCCCACAATCGCATCCGCAGGATCCCCAAGGACGCCTTGGACAAACTGAGCGCTCAAGTCCGCCTGTCCCACAACCCCCTGCACTGCGAATGTGCCCTGCAGGAAGCCCTGTGGGGGCTGCAGCTGGACCCCGACTCTGCAGACGCTATTGCGTGTCACACTTCTGTGCGGGAGGAGTTCGTGGGGAAGCCGCTGATCCAGGCGCTGGATGCCGGCGTCAGCTTCTGCAGCGCCCACCACCGGACCACTGACGTGGCCATGTTGGTCACCATGTTTGGCTGGTTCGCCATGGTGATCGCCTATGTCGTGTACTATGTGAGGCAGAACCAGGAGGATGCCAGGAGGCATTTGGAATACCTGAAGTCCCTGCCTAGCACCCCCATCTCCAAGGACCCCATCAATCCAGCTCCCTAGTACCTGCCAGCACCCTAGAACCACCTCCCAAGTCTTCAGGCAAACCCACATCCCACCGACTTCACACTTTCACTTGGTAGCAGGTTGTGATGTGGGTTTTACCTTCTCCCCCATGGAGGTGGTTGAGATGGCTCCTTCCATGTTACATTCATTCTCTTACATTCATTCATTGAATTCTCTTTGCAGACAGGAAACTTACCATCTCACCCATTTGATGGACGCGAAACAGAGACACTGAGGGACTTCCCATGGTAACACAAGGCATGGTCCGGTTGGGACTTAGAGCCAGGCCATCTGCCATGGAAAGTGTTCTTTCCACTCTGCAAGCCTCTTATGGGCCCTGGCATATACACTCAGAGGGTGGGGCACACTCTGAAAAGAAAGAGACTCACCACAGAGGCTTGTAACAGGCTCGTCTGGTCAAGACACCGATCAGTAAGTCCTGCAGGGAAGACCTGACTAGCCTTTGTTTACCTACTAGGTTCTAAATATCCTTGTCCCCAGAACTTTCTTTCCAGAGCAAGGAGACAGTATATCTCACTGTCAGTTTAGGTAATGCTATACCAGCCCAGGGTTTCCTAGAGAAGTGAGGGAATGTGTCACCCAGACTAACTTGTCTACAGTTGTGTCTGTCCTCAGAGTGATGCTTGTGCCAAGATTTCAGTTTGATGAGAGGGAAACAAGGCTGGAGAAATCCAGGGAAACACCTAGTGTAGATCATCCAGGGGTTGATGCCGGCGACCAGATGCATGGCGTCCTGCCCTGCCCTGCCCCTAGCGACGTGCCTGCCAGCAACAAGGTCCTTACGTCACTACCGTGCCTTGTTTTCTATTCCTCCCATGTCTACAACGGCTCTTTACCAAGGATGGGAGGACTACCGAGTGCTGTTCCAAGGCTGGTCCACGAGACGAGACGAGTCTGTTTCTACAGCAACAAAGAACCCTCTTTCTCTTCACCTGGGCTGCGGGGAATCTCCAAGCTAATTTGATTCTCAATTTTCTTACCTCTCTTGCTTCATGTGAAGTTCAGGGCAGACATGACCTCCACTTACCTGACTCTGATCTGTCTCCTTTCTCATTTCATTTTGTACCGTGATTTTGTAGGAATGTTTATATTTTAAACTACTTTCAATATTGTGTTGCGGGGGTGGGGCCGGCGGAGCAGTGAGTGTGAGAGGCTTGGGGAGTGTGTAAACGAGAGATATCGAAAAGCACTTAGGGCTCCCGGGTGACTTCTGTTTGAAAGCGGGGGCAGGAGACTGGGTCTGGGGCACCCACGGGCGCCCACGGTGTTTGGTGTTGAGTCAGGAACCCAGAGCCCGGCTGGGCTCAGCTGAAGAGAGGCCGTGATTCCTTAGTTAACAGTGAAGGAAAAGATGACCCAAGATTTACCATCCCCTTCATACCACGTGGCCCGCGGCCTGCCAGGGGACGTCCAGGACCCAGAGATAGGGGTGGGGGCTTCCCTCTGACCCTCTAAGAATGTTCGCGGGGACCACACATCCTGAGCCCCCAGGCTCCCTCCCGGTGTCGGTGCTTCCCACCTCAGTGCCTGCAAGCGTACTTCTCTTGGCCTTTTCCTCCGTTCCACCGTGTTCTTGGCCACCGAGGTCAGCGTGATGGGTCGCAACCGTCTCCTTGGGTGGTGCCCGCAATGCATTTCAGGCTGCCCTTCTGAGAGTGTGTACATGTGGGTGAGCACTCTGCCTGGATCCAAGGGCCGCCCAACTGGCTCAGCCCTGAGGGCCTGCCGGATGAGCCCTGGGCCCCAGACTGCCCGAGCCAAGATCAGAACCTGCCAGCCCAAGTCCTAGAGCCGGCGCAGCCTCCTGCTAGGCTCATTTCAGACCCACTGTCCCTTTAGGACAGTCCCAGGCCCACCTTGCTCCCAACGCTGCTTGAGGCCAAGCTAGTAGGATCTTGTGCCTCCCTCAGGCCCATCCCTAAGTCGTTTCCCCCACCAGGCAGGCAGCTCCCCAGGCACTCTGCCCTCAAGGCCAGGTGCGGCAGACTGGGGACTCTGCCCATGCCCCACATCGCAGATTCCAGCTGGCCCCCAGGACATGGTTTCAGCTGCCAGGCCTGGCCTTGCACACCCAGAGCCCATTCCACTTCCAATGGACCTCCACCCCAGGGGTTAGAACAACCTGGCCAGTGGGTTCGAATGCAGATTGCCAGGGCTATCCTCAAACTCTGATTTTAAGCAGTGTGTGTAAGTCGCTGTGAAGCCCTGGTGGGGTCTGCTGACGGGAAGAGCCATATGAACCCAGCGGTTGTGCTGAGGGGGAAAGGTGAGGCTCCTTGCTTGCATCCAAATGCACGGCCTCAGCGGCTCCATGGCCAAACCTGCTCTGCCCTGTGGGCCTGCTATGACTCAGAATCGACTCGCTGGCAGTGGATTTTTAGGTTGGTGGGGATTGTGGCTGACTCCTTGGGAAAATGCCTGTCCTGTTAGTCCAGAGCCTTCTGCAGAACTTCGGGGACTCTAGGATCAGGCAGCCCCAACCCAGATGGCTCCAGGCCATCCATGGGGGAGTGGGCCCAGGTTATCTTTGCCCGTCAGGGTCCATAGCCCACTTCTTTCACCTGCATCCATGACCCTCAGCCCTAGGCTTCCCCTAGGGCCCCAGTCCTCTCCTCCCACCTGCTCTGACAATCTGTCCTCACCCTTCAACTGCCCTGTCGGGTGTCCCCGTTGACAGGCTGGTCACCCCCTTGTGCTGTCCCCCAGGAGTCCCTTCTCTGTCCTGCTTCCTGAACCCACTCTGCTCTTAGTCCCCCCAGTTTCTCCCTGTCACATGCAGCATCGCCAGGCCCTGTGCCACAGCCTAGTGCGCCTGCTGCCTGGATGGAGCGAAACCTGTTTGTGCCTGCTCTCTCTCAGGCCTGGAACTTTCCCCTCGGAGAGCATGGCCTGGGGAGCGTCATCCAAACAGGAAGCGCCTGTCAGTGTCCAGCCGAGGGGTAGCCAAGTGTGGGAGGCCCAGCAGAGCCCACACCTAGCCCTGCCTGCTGCAGACAGCGGCGTTCTGCATCCATCACCATAGCAAAGTGCTGTCCATGGAAAGTGCCACACCCAGGGACAGCCAGGCCTGATGGCCAGGCTCAGTGACCAGGTTGGGTGTTATTAGCTCAGAGGACCCTACATGGTCATATAAACTCTTATTGCTCCTTGGTTTCCCCCTGAGTTAGCGGTGGCTGTCACCATGGCCTTTGAAATCTTTGTCCTTCACTTGATGTCCCTGAGCCATCTGTAATCACGACTCTCCATTCTGTCCCTAGAGTCTGTAGCACACACACACACACACACACACACACACCCGCCCCCTGAGTGCCCTCATCTCACAGGCTCCCAAAGGTAGGTGGGCCTAATAGGTTAGGCTCCCAGGATGTCCTTCTGCATCTCGTTCACAGAATGCCTGATAGGAGAGCAGGCAGCTCTTCTGATCTCTGCGCTGAGCCTCTCAATTGGGCAGTCGGAGAGCTGTCGCCACTGAAATTCTCGGAGACAATAGATTTAGTGAGACCCTTCACCGAACTCTGCTAGCACCCTCCTCTTCCTCACATACATAGATTTCTGGAAGGTTCTGGACTGCCTGAGCATATACCCACTGGACTCCCAAAGGGTCATGGTCCTTATTGCACGTTCAGAGTCTGCTTGCAGCATAGGCACCTTGAGCAAGGCTGGACCCATACCCAGGACCAGTTTCATCCTGGCATGGCTTGTGGTGCCCTTGGCCTGAATGAGTGGAGAGGCTGCCCTTGTAGATGGCATACATCCACTCCCCAGAGCTTCCCCTATGTCATATTCAGTGGACAGGAGGTGGCAAGGAAGCTGGCACAGGCCCACCTCTCCTCCCTGGGCCAGCCCACTTGAAGGTATCAGCCACTGAGCACAACCCACGCAGCAGGGTCCTGGCCATCTTCCCACAGGCAGTCCCTGCCTGGGGTTAGGGGCAGTTCTGTGGCTACTGCTGTTCTTCAGCAGTCTCGCCTGCGTGCTTTGAAGCCGGGCTTTGGTGGCTCTGCGACCGTGATTGGATCAAACCGTTCCTTCAATGAATACCCAGAGCTCTCTTCCTTGCCCCTGAAGTCACGCGTGATTCAGAGCCTGTCAGTGTGGAAGCCACGGTGATTAGGACAGGGAGTGGCTCTGCAGTGCCATTGCTATCTCCAGAGAGGAACGATCTCCCTTAGTTGTTAAGCTTCCAGTTTTGAACAACTCCTGAGAGCCTTTTACATTTCTAAAGATCAAGCCGACACTTTGGTGAGTCGGGGCCACGCTCTTGTCAATCACCTCACAGACCTGTGGAAGCTAGTCCATGAAGAAGGAAGAGTGGAGGTGGTCGAATGAGCAAATCAGCCCTGGGAGGAGGACAGCTGTGTTCCTCAGCAGTGAGGAGGGCGAGGCTTTGGCTTGCTTACTTGGGAGGAGTCATCAGCAAAGAAAAGGACCTCCCATGTTTGGTAGAGGGCGAGTGAGAATGAAGGCCCCTTCAGTGACCTGGATTAACACCGTGGCAGCAACCCGGGGCCCAAGTGTATCAGAGATAGTGAAGATGGTGGAGTGGAGGCGTTAGAGCCACGTGGATGATAACTAACAATAACAAGAAGCAGGCCCGGGGATTCCCGCTGAGCTGATTCTTCACCAGGACCATGGGCGAAGAATCTTCCGGACTTGGTCGGGATTTCAGGAGCGGTTACAAGTAAAGAGTGGCTCAGAAATGACTTTGGCCCATTCTCAAAAATGTCCCCCCTCAGGAGCATGCCCAGAGAAGACACTGTGGTTTGCCCAGAGACGATCATAACATGTTGTTCACACTCATCGGACACTTGGAAGGATTCCTGTGGTTTAGCGGAAGAGACGCGGAGCTCACCCAGGAGGGCGTCAGGAGCAAGGCTAGCGCAAGTATGTGGCCACGTCAGTGTGGATGTAAATCCACACTGAACAGCACGGCGCTTTGTAAATGGCTGTCAGCGGGGACGAAAACCAGAAAGGCTGGCTTGAAAGGTGTAAACATTTTAATATTCCTTACATTTTTTCCGTTCTTGCTTGCATTTTCAAGAAAAGGGGAATAAAAACCCAGATCTCCAGTGGTTCTTTGTTTTTGATTCACACCGCTTTGTTTTTTTTTGCTTGTCTCTCCACGGCTCAGCGCCCAGACCTTCAGTCCGGTCAGGCATCCTGCAGACCTCCGA